CAGAGTGACAGCATGGATCCAAAGATTCATTCAAATTCTGAGAGAAAGGGTGAAAAAAGGAAAGGATCGGCACAAGTTCGAAGCAGAAAAACAGTGCAGGCCGAAGAAGAACAACAGAAAACGTGGAGGACAAAGCAGCCTTTCCAGCACGTTCGAGCTGACTGTTGAAGAAGTGACCGCAGCTGAAGTATTTTGGGTGCGTTTAGCACAGACAGATGCTTTCGAGGATGAACGTCGCTGGCTCGAAATCCACAGGAACGAAGAAACCACGCAAGGGCGCGCTAAGAAGCGGCGAGATGGAAGAGGAAAAGAAAGCCGCCTACAAAGATTGAACCCGTTCATAGACGAAAATGGTCTCATACGAGTGGGAGGCAGAATAGGCCATGCAGATCTACCGTACAACACAAGACATCCCTACGTTCTCCCGAAGAGGCATGCAGTGTCTGCGCTCATCGTGCGACATATCCACGATAAGTTCGACCACGAGCTCGGGGTAGAACACAATTTGGCCGAGCTGAGGCAGACATTTTGGTTGGTCAGCGCAAGAGAAGAAATCAAGAGATGCATTCGGACGTGTCCTGAGTGCAAACGAAGGCGCGAGAAGACTGGAGCGCAAATAATGGCCCCGATGAAGAAAGAGCAGCTGAAGCCGACGTACAGAGCATTTTCCCACTGCGGTGTAGACTTCGCTGGGCCAGTGGAAACAAAAAACGAAAGAGGAAGAGTGAAGACAAAGCGATACATCTGTCTTTTCACCTGTTTTCAAACTAGAGCAGTGCACCTGGAAATGGCGTATGTTTTAGACACCGACTCGTTTTTGTGCACCTTGGACAGATTCACCTCAAGAAGGGGTGTTCCTGAGGACATCTGGAGTGACAATGGCCGGAACTTTGTCAGTGCCGAAAAAGAGCTGAAGAAAACGTCAGATGCTCTGGACAGGCGTAAAATCCACAAGCAAGGAGTCACGAGAGGTATCCGCTGGCACTTCAACCCTCCCGCTGCGCCTCATTTTGGAGGAGTTTATGAATCCCTCATCAAGTCCGTGAAACGTGCTATGTACAGCACTCTGCGGACCACAAGCATCACCGATGAAGAGCTACAGTCCGCCTTAAGTCGCGCTGAGGCTCTTCTGAACTCGCGTCCGCTGACTCCGCTGTCAGCCGACCCGACTGATCAGCCGCCTCTGACTCCTGCACACTTCTTGGTGGGACATATTCAGCTGCAAGCGGATGCCGGGCTCGAGGGCGCGAGAGATCACTTGAAGAGGTGGCGCCTGGTTCAACAGTTGGTCGCAGCGTTTTGGAAAAGATGGCAGCGAGAATATGTGCTTTCGCTACAAGCTCGTACAAAGTGGAGGACGTCCCATGAAGACCTGGCAGTAGGGGACGTGGTACTGATGGCAGAGTCATCGGTCACCAGGGGTCAGTGGCCGCTGGCCAGAGTGATCAAGGTGCACCCTGGAGCTGATGGACATGTGAGGGTGGTAGATGTCCAATGCAAAGGGAAGGTCTACACCAGACCCGTGGTGAAGCTGGTGCATCTAGAATCTGCCCCGGCGTAAGGCTGCCCGTGAAACGGACGGCTTAAACATACTGTGGCGTCGACACTATCGAACTGCAATGCGGTGTGATCGAGTGAACTTGCAAGTTGCAACTGTGCCTATTCATTGTGTATATTGACCTTCATGGTGCAGAAGGTCAAGGTGGGGGAGAATGTTTACGAGCATTTAGCGGTTCTCTTGCCTCTATAGCGCGAGCCGTCCTCCGCAAGAAAAAAGACTTAAGTCAAAAATGAGGCGAAGTCGAAGATGAAGAGGAATGGGGGAACTTGGCAATGAAATGTTGTGAATTAACCCGCGCCCCACTGGGGGGGGGGGGCTATTTATAGCCCCCCCTCCCGTTTTTCTGCAATAACTTCCAAACCGCTTGACGAATCGACGCCAAACTTTCAGTACCTTCGGCTGCATCAATTTGACACCTTGTGTCAAAATTTGAACTTCGTAGCTACCATAGGTCGGCCGGAAATGACGTCAGAGTGACGTCATGTTCGTCCGATTTCGACGCAAAACATTGAACCACGGCAATCGCTCCCAAGAGCTCAGTTTTTAAGCTAGATCCAATTTCGTTGCATGAAAGAACTCAGAATTGACCGCGCTATCAAACTGCTATCTCGGATTTTCAAAATTTTGAAAAATTCGAAAATTTTATATAATAATATTTAAAATTTATATTTTTATATTTTTTTCAAAAAGTTTTTGATTTTTCGAAAAAAACCGGAATATATGTGACAGAACGCATGATTATGACTAACTCTAGCAAGTTTTAGCTAAATATCTTCAAAAATGGCCAAGTTATACGCATTATTGCAAAAAATTCACAATTATTAATTTTTCAAATCAATTTTTCAGTACGTATTTGGCATCGTACACCAATATAAATGGCACCATCGTGTTCCTGAGCTCAAACTGCATCCAATAGACACCTTTTTTGTTGAAAAATTTCAACTTCAAAATTTGACCTTTTTTGACCTGAAAGTGACCTGACCTAAGCTAATTTCGACTCAAAATGACCTTGAATGACACAGACGACATCAAATTCGAAATCTATTGCCTAAATGGACCATAAAACATGTGTCACGTGACCGACGCATGATATAATATTTTCGTGACCTGTGTTGACCTGACCCTGACCTGAAAATCAAAGTACAAGTTTGGTACCCTCAAGGTATCTAGAGCATCTGTTCACGAGTGTGGAAACCAAAAATGAGCCTGATCTGACTTGTAAGACGGCGGCCAGAGCCCAAAATGTGAACAAGCCAAAGTGCTAATAATTTTTACTTTGACCTGACCTGTGACGTCATCGGTGACCTCGAGGTCAATGAAATTAGGTTTCGCTCGACAGTTTTTCCGGGGCTATCAGACGCCGTTTGAATTTTGACGATCGGCCCAGTAGTTTCGGAGTTAGGAGGGGGGGGGCTATGAATAGCCCCCCCCCCCCCCCCCAGTAGGGCGTGTTATACACAGACCCCAGTGGGGCGCGGGTTAAGTGTGAATCAAAGAACCGAAGAATATAAAGCTAAGATCTGATTTGCATTCATGATTCATGATTGATTTAAGATTGGTGAGACCTAGGTACTACCGTAAGATCAATGACTGAGTTAAATGACTAAATATACACAACGCGAGACTACATTATCACGAAACCATTCACTTATGAACCAAACAGGGATTTCGTTCAACGCTGCAATTTTTTTTTTAACTCGAGGGTGATTTAAACAATTTCATTTAGCGGGCCTTCTTTGTCGCATTTGATGTGGCAATTATAGGATAAAATCGCATTTGTTTCTTAGCTGCCGGTGTATGGCATTGATGTCACTGCCCTTCATCCCTACTTCTGAGAGACCCCACTGTCACCGCATAGGTAATACACGACGCAATCAGCCTTATCCTCTAGTTCGTGGAACTTTAGGTAATCACAGCCAACAGTCACAAGTTAAACATTATGCCTATCACTATCTTCATTAGGTTTCCACTTTCCAAGTCACGTTCTGTAACGGCTTCCTAATGACGTCACAATGATTGAACGCGTCATGACCATAGTACACACTGATACACCTACCTCCCCCGCCCCCGGAATAGCAGGGCGCTATAGGTATGCGACGCGCGACAAGTCATCTATGACAGGTCATGGCTATAGCTATGACTAGGTCACGTGTCTAAAAACGCGCGGTTTGTGCTGAAAATGCCTCCCGACCGTTACCGCTATGAACCACCGCGATTTATCGTATCAGAGTCATAGTCACATGGCTGCTTTGACAGGACCGGAACCATGGAGCGACACCGGAAGTGATTCACTTCCGGCCAGCTGTGAGCCGTAGTGGAGTCGGAGTCAGAAGTAACGAATCGGCCAGCACGATATAAGTTCAGAATGTGTATACTAAGACGATGAGATACCTACCCCGAATTACGCATCTCGATGAGAAAAAGAATAACGTTTGGTTGAAACGTTTCAACTGCGTCGAGGTGCCTATAGGTAATAGGTATGTTATTATACTCCCCTGACGGGTACCTATAGCTACGCTCTGGCGATAAGATACTTACAGCTGCGTCCTGGCGATCTTCATGCTGGGTAACTCATTCACACGATCCAGGTTTATTTGGGAGTCAGCCTGGCCCAGCTCTAACCTGTCTCAGCGCTACAATAGGCTCGCGAATTTACTGCGAGCGGCAAAAACTTGGAATGTGGGGATGACCTTGCCCTATAGTTCCAGGTGCCAAAGGCAGCGACAGTAGGTATTGCCCTCATCAACCCTCACAGCAGGGTTTAGTCTATATATTTTGCCGTACGATCGGAAAAATAGTAGTTTGGGAGCAGATGAAAACGAGGAGCCCAGCCTAACCTTGACCATGCTTGCCAGGAAAATGACTGGCTTAGAAAGTTATTCACACTCTGATTATATTTTTCTCATTTTACAATTCTTTGAATGTCATTTATGTAGCAGGGAAAATCAAAGTAAAAGACATCAGGCATTCAGGTGTCAAAAGTCATGATTATCTAGCCGATGCTCACTTCTATAGGCATATCATTTTTATGATCTGACCCGGATGCAGACAATCCCGGCATTTAGCCAAAGTTCTCACAAATTGATAAACTGCTTCTTAATTTTCGTCTTGTCGCATTGTACAAGCGTAAACTGAACTACTGAAGCTTCGATACTATCCGCAATCCAATCATGGCTTCTAGACAACTATTTATCATTTTATGCATAGATTTGAGGAGAACGTTGATGCGTGCGGCGGAATAAAGTTTTAGAAACATAGGCTTTCAGTTTCCACTAAATCATGCCCGTGTTTCCCGTGGTTTGGCAAACCCTACCCCCGAGGGCGTGTGAACTTTGTCACCCACGCATACTCTCGGCACGTGCTGTCTTCCGTCCTCTCAGCGTCCCCGCTCCAGCGGTGGGGGAGGGGAGGGACCAATCAGCGTCCAGGGAAGCTGTGATTGGTCAGCTGCGATTGGTGGCCAGAGTCTGCTCCCGGACGGTAACAGAGGACCGTGAAACGACCGGAAGGCTGGGCGACGGCCGTGATTCAGTTCATAAACAGACCGGCCGCGATTAGAGGGCGATGTGGTAGGGCAGTGCGACACATAGGAGCGCCGCCAGTGTCGAGACGCCGGTCAGTCTGCCAGGAGCCGCCGGACCCACCCGAACTCACGATCACCGGGGAGAGTGAGGGGAGAAACGAGTGGTGTTACAAACACAGAAAAATGGTGAGTAGTCCTCCACCTCGACCCCATCCCCATCCCACCCACTCAACCATGTCACGCATGAACGGTCATTGACAGCCGAAGATGTAGGGGAAGTTGGGGGAACGCCGAAGACTTTTTTTCTGACGCCCGTAGCACGCAAGGTAGACAACATAAGCTATTCTTGTTGGCGTCATTCGAGAGGCCAGTCTTTTGCCTTTCAAACATACCAGGCGCATTTGATGAATTCGCATACCGTTAAGCGCACAAACTAAAAATATCAAAGAAGTGACTTTTTCGGCGTTGCCCCGGACTGCGGGGAAAGCCGAAAATGGGAGAAATGATCTACGGGGAATGCCGACATTGATGTTTTGCCATTTTATCTCAAACTTTATCCAGAATTGATCAAAGCTGACACGCGTTTTAAGAGCTTGAGGACGCGGTGCACACTGGAAGTTATAATTGTGTGATATAATAAGAACATGCCAGGTAAATCATTCCTTATAGGTAACAGGCCGTTGTGTCGGTTGAAAGTGTTATTTGTGTGACTAAAAATACGCGTTGCTATTCTACAGCAGTGAAGTCCACGTAGCGTGCTTTTAACACGTGCGTAATCGCACGTTTTCGGCATTACCCCAGCCTGCCATACTTTCATTTGCAGGCCCATAACTTTTCAACGTGCTGTATAAATTTCAAATAGGCAGCACACTTATGCAAAGACATGCTAAAGATTACTTGACCGAATTGGCCAGACAAACGGTAGCATAATGAGTAAGAAATGCAGCTTCAAAGGCGCATGTAGTACAAGGGAAACGTACCTTGAAAACGCTCTTGGCGCCCTCACAGTCGAAGTATTCCGAATGACGACTCGTAACAAACATGCGATAATTGTAGTCACTTAAGCTTCAGAGCATCACTGACAGGTGGCATCCATGTCTTACGGTTTTCGAAATATCTCGAATTTCGGCTTTGCCCCAACTCCGGCATTGCCCCAACTTCCCCTACGCTTATAACTAGCCATGTTAGCATGTGATATTGATTGGCATTGAGTTGCAGTCTTCGCTACTTTGCTTATATCATGACATTCTTAATTTGAACCTGTTGCTGTCTTATGCTTATGACAATTGCTCGCAATTTGAAAATATGTTGCATAGAGGAAGTGAGTTATTAGAGCAGTTTGTTGACTTGAAGTTGAAATTTAGTTAACCTGTTGTGAAACTTTTCCTTTCACAGGCGATACAAATCGGTCACGTTATATTCTTCTTTTTGCTGGTAAGTTAAACGTTTTCAGTTAATTGATTTACTTTAAGATACATCTTAAAAGTGTGATCATTGATCAATAGTTTTGGGCATGTCACAATGAACATATCCAGTATCCACCAATCTCTGTAATATCTTTACGATAAGATGCCTGTTTTGATTTGACCTTTGCCCATGTGACATTGGAGATGGATAGATGAACACGATCACGGTCGGCCACTGTGTTATGACCTGACCTGACCTGACCTGACCTGACCTCTGCCCACATCACAGCTGAGCTGGGGGAACGGCCACGGCCGGCTGCTGCTTATGACCTGACCTGACCTGACCTTTATCCACGTCACAGCTGAGCTGGGTGGACGGCCACGGTCGGCTGCTGTGTGATGACCTGACCTGACCTGACCTTTACCTGTGTCACAGCTGAGCTGGGTGGACGGCCATGGTCGGTTGTTGTGTTATGACCTGGCCTGACCTGACCTTTACCCACGCCACAGCTGAGCTGGGTGGACGGCCACGGTCGGTTGCTGCGGCCGCCCGCACGCTCATCCCTCTGGAGGTTCGGCTACAAGTCGCCGATCAACTACGACGACAACCAGCTCTACTGCGGCGGCAGAGATGTGAGTAGGCACTAGGCTACCGGTCGCGCTCGCCATTCAATGAAACATATATCCATTATTTTAATCGTCACTGGTAAACTCAATTAGAAATAAGAAGGAAGTGTTGCATGTATGGTAACTCGAATTGTGTAACCTTTTAAACCGGTAAAGGATTATGCTCGTAATCGTCAAACCGTTCTGCTGGCGATCATGGATAATGAATATATGTAGGTACTGCTGGTTTTATGTCAACAGGGTCAAACCCAACAGGCAACAGATCAATCGCAAATCACTCCAAGTTTTGGATGGTTTGTGTCTTGTCGGCAAATATGTGATATCTTTCTTGGAAGCGTAGAGTACAGTATTTCAATGTAACTTTCTAGACTATTTTGCCGACGCTTGCCTTGACTGAGAAATTTGCCGGAGTAGATTGCAATTAATAATGTTGTCCATATAATTCGCTGTACCTATACTGAAGTCTGAACCCTCTGCATGCTGTGTCTCCAGCACCAAATATCGCTGGGCGGGCGCTGCGGCATCTGTGGCGATCCTTACGACGAGCCTGTACCGCGGACTAACGAGATCGGCGGGCCGGTGTACCGCGGGTACATCACCGAGCGGTACCTCGAACAGCAGGTGAGGTGTGGTACGGTACAGCAGTATGGTGTACCGCGGGTACATCACTGAGCGGTACCTCGAGCAGCAGGTGAGGTGTGGTACGGTACAGCAGTACGGTGTACCGCGGGTACATCACCGAGCGGTACCTCGAACAACAGGTGAGCAGTGGTACGGTACAGCAGTACGGTGCACCGCTGAAACATCACAGCTGTCTCGATAAACGTTCGTCTTGCTATTGGAGGTTAGCTGTTGCGGCTCAAATCCCTGTCGCGTGTTCATTTTTCTCCTCGTTTGTCACAGGTTATAGAGGTCGATGTGCACATCACGGCCAACCACAAGGGCTTCATCCAGTTCAAGATCTGTTCGGTGCCAGGCTTCGACACAGAAGCGACCCAGGAATGTCTGGACCGGTAAGAAACACAATTATTTTTGTGACAATATCAACTTTCTTGTTTAAACAATGCCACCAATTGTGCACGTTTATTGCTTGTGTCTGTTCACTAAGTTCAGTATCTGTTCCGGACTCTTCCGACAGCTGCCTACGGGCACGTCTGTTTAGTGTCTGTTTAGCACTCGTCCCGGCCCCTGCTCACAGTTTTTGTTTAGTTATACGGATACCTGTTCGGTGCTCTTCCCGACACCTGCTGACAGCTGCTGTCGTCGTGTTTCAGCCACGTGCTAACGGTAGCGGACTCGGAGGTGACAGAGATACCGATCCACCCCCGGGACCGGCGTGTGAAGGTGTGGCTCCAGCTGCCGGCCGGCCTCACCTGCCAGCACTGCGTCTTCCAGGTCAGCAGGCCCTGTAGCGATTTATCCCTGTCAGCGGGCTCCCCTTGTAGCTAGAGAGTTCCAGGTCAGTAGGTTCCCCTGGAGAGAGTTTCAGGTTAGCAGGCCCTGTCTGTAGCGTTCCCCCTGTCACGAGCTTCAGGTCAGAGGACTCTCATGAAGAGTTATCCCCGGTCACGAGACAGCTCAGGGGTCGGTCGGTGGATTGTAATATGGCGCGGCAGACCGTTCGGTGATGACACTGACTTCACTGTGGATCGGTCATGAGGACAGACGGAGAGTAGGTCAAGACTCAAGACTCCCCTCCACCCCTCCCTCTTCCCCATTTGTGTGGGCGTCCCTTCCGCGTCTGTTTCCACGACGGACAGCGGCCGCTTTGTGACGTGTCTCGTCTCCACCGCAATTCCGTTACACTATCTGCTCTGAAGGTCGTTCTTCCCGTAGAGGGCTGCAAAACTCGAGGAATGGGCCGCTCGTTATACGGGCTGCTCCAGATTGTATACACATTCCACTCAGGGAATCCAGACGCACGTATCGCAGGAAGTTGAGAACCGGAGGAGTGTGCATGGCGCATACACTGCAAAGGAAACTTCCGTTCCGCACCCATGGCTGTAGGTATAGTCATTGTGGTAAAGTTAGCAATCAGCGCCGCTCTGGAATGACTATATGAATGGGCCTTGAGGTCGGATCCAGGAGGTTCTTGAGCAGATAACGGTTGAAACTTGAAAGTTACTGCGCAATAAACACAGAGATAGAAATAAAATAAACTTGGAATCCTTATTCATTCATCTACTTCATATTATACCTAGACAATACCTATTTTGTATATTGAGTTCGAAGATTTCAAAGACTTCAAAGAATTCGAGGGTGGGAAAGCGGAAAGTGTAGGCATAGTGTAATAAATAACAAGTGAAGACACTTCACCAATGTATAATGCAAACTCATGTAACAACTTTTCTTCAGCTGGAAGTGGGCTATGTAGCTACTCACGCTGCAGTATGACGTAATAAAACGTCATAAAACGTCACTCCCTAAATCATTGAACTGATTAAACGTTATCCTCAGCCTACATCATCGTCTTCCATGCCCCGTCATGATGGATTTTTTAATTGACTTAGACATGAAAACCCACGTTTTTTATTTCACTAAATGAAGGTAAATAATCCCAGTCTCTTACAGAATGCCATGGTACACACAAAATCAGAGGACATCGATGTGCCACAGCCCGATGAAAGTCCTACTCGATCTAACTGCGCTCTAACATGCTGAACATCGTATCAGCCCTCACTCTTATTCCGTAACGTTACTCTCGAGAACCCACTGTTTTTATTGCATGTATGGTCGCTTACTGAATGCATTGTGACAGAACCGGTATGCAAATATTCAAAAACAGAGGACATGTAAATAGAGTGAATAACCTTATGCTCATGTTATATGTTGCAAATTGATATAATTGAAACTAAATTGATATATTTCGATATTGCACCGTCATCAGAATAAGAATAGCAATTAAGCAGCGAAACAAAGCTGATTCAAACGGAATACAAAACGTGCATCTTTTGATATGGTTCTCGTTGGATAAGGTCGATCAGTACGTAGGTACTATCATTCAGGTGCGTGTCAACATTTGCACATTATACATGATAATGCTTTCAAATATACATAATGAACATAATGCCAAAAAATACATATACGTTTACAATATACATACTTAACATAATAGATGGATACATAGATAGATGGATACATACTTTACATAATAGATGGATACATACATATGCGCATACAATATACAATAAACATAATAGATACATACATAATATGTATATACAATATACATAATACACATAATATATAGTTGTCCATTGTTCTCATACATACTCAATAGATACATACATAATATGTATATACAATATACATAATACACATAATATATAGTTGTCCATTGTTCTCATACACACTCATGACATGACAATGCTATACAATAGGTATTCTACAATATTGTATGTTACGCTGGAGCTACCGGAGCCACTGGGGGTGTGTATGGCGGGGGATTGAGGAGAGGCCATGATGAGGTTTGTGTGTTGAGGTGGGGTCGCTGGTTTCTGATTTCGATTGACTCGGCTATTTTGAGGTTTGGTACATCTTTGCAAACTTTTTCGATCGACACGCTAAACGACTCGGGCCCAACTATGCTGGTTGGGTGTGTCCTAGCTACATGATCTCCGAGTGGAGTGTCCTTGGTTTGGTTTTTTGCGTCCCTCAAATGCTCGTGAAACCGCTCCCGGATGCGTCTTTTAGTTTCTCCTATGTAAATACTAGTTTTGTCTTGGCACATGTTACACACGATTTTGTACACAACGTTTTTATTTATCAATTTAGTTTCAATTATATCAATTTGCAACATATAACATGAGCATAAGGTTATTCACTCTATTTACATTATTAATCATGCTCAGAAATACCATAGCTTACCTCCAAAAAAACAGAGGACATCATAACACCACCGGCTCCTAAAAAGTGTAGGGTATTTTGACAACGTCTCTAAAACATAACCCATTTTGATCGGTCCTTTGATTGACATAGACTCGAGAACCCATGTTTTTTATTGCATTTAATGAAAGAAAATAATCATATTTTCTTATAAAATGCGTGAAAATATTCAAAATCAGAGGACATCGATGTGCCACAGCCCGATGAAAGTGCTCTTCGATCCAACTGCGCTCCAACATGCTAAACATCGTATCAGCATTCACTCTATTCCGTAACGTTACTCTCGAGAACCCACTGTTTTTATTGCATGTATGGTCGCTTACTGAATGGAATTTGACAGAACCGGTATGAAAATATTCAAAAACAGAGGACATCATAACACCACCGGCTCCTAAAAAGTGTAGGGTATTTTGACAACGTCTCTAAAACATAACCCATTTTGATCGGTCCTTTGATTGACATAGACTCGAGAACCCATGTTTTTTATTGCATTTAATGAAAGAAAATAATCATATTTTCTTATAAAATGCGTGAAAATATTCAAAATCAGAGGACATCGATGTGCCACAGCCCAGAAGAGCTGAAAGTGCTCTTCGATCCAACTGCGCTCCAACATGCTAAACATCGTATCAGCATTCACTCTATTCCGTAACGTTACTCTCGAGAACCCACTGTTTTTATTGCATGTATGGTCGCTTACTGAATGCATTGTGACAGAACCGGTATGAAAATATTCAAAAACAGAGGACATCATAACACCACCGGCTCCTAAAAAGTGTAGGGTATTTTGACAACGTTTCTAAAACATAACCCATTTTGATCGGTCCTTTGATTGACATAGACTCGAGAACCCATGTTTCTTATTGCATTTAATGAAAGAAAATAATCGCATTTTCTTATAAAATGCGTGAAAATATTCAAAATCAGAGGACATCGATGTGCCACAGCCCGATGAAAGTCCTACTCGATCTATCTGCATTCTGCGCTCCAACATGCTGAACATCGTATCAGCATTCACTCTATTCCGTAACTTTACTCTCGAGAACCCACTGTTTTTATTGCATGTATGATCGCTAACTGAATGCAATGTGACAGAACCGGTATGAAAATATTCAAAAATAGAAGACACCATAAAGGCCTGGCTACACTATGCGTTTTCTTCGTGCGTTTTTTGCGTGTTTGCGTGTTTTGCGTGATATCGTTCTAGAAAAAAAGAACGATATTACGTTTTTGTGATGTTTTTCACCTTAAATTTTAGTTACATAAGAGTTATATTAGCTTTTGTATATAACCAAAGTTAAAATTATATAGTTTATAACTTTTTTCCTAGAACGATATTCCGCAAAACACGCAAACCTGCAAAAACGCACGCAAAAAACGCATAGTGTAGCCAGGCCTTAACAGTACCAGCCCCTAAAAGTGTAGAGTATTTAAACAAAGTCTGTATTATACGAGTCATTTTGATCGGTCTTTTCCTTCACTTTGACTTGAGAACCTATGCTTTTTATTGCGCGAAATGAATGAGAGTCATCGCATGTTCATTGTTCCTATTGAATGCATTATAATATGCAAAATCAGGGGACATCGATGCGTTTCAGCCTGGTGAAATGCCCAGTTAATGAATAGCTGTTTGGCCCATTTTAACACTGCGTCGGCATTTACACAGCTTCCGAACGATATGCCTGATAAGAGAACATGAATTCTTAGGTATTGCGAGCTGTGGGGCCTGTCCCTGTGTTCATACGCTATACCCATTCTGGCATAAAGAAGACATTCTTAGCTTGTAAAGATGTGTAGTAAAAATAGGTATTTGGTCTTCTCATTATGTTTAAGTGATATTTCATTTCAAGTTGCGTGTAGAGGGATTTATTTTCAGTGTTTTGTAGAAAATAAGGGTGAATTAGCTGTTAAAACCAACACTTATATAACTACAAGCTTGGATAGTAGTTTCTTGGGTTACAAGTTTTCACTACAGGGATGAAACTTTTGCACTACAATGACGAAAACGTCATCAATCGTCATCAGATATCGTTGATTTTCTGAGAGAGCACTTCCGGCAGAAGAAAACGCATTACCTACACAAAATAATCGAAGTGTCTTCACTTGTTATTTATTACACTATGGTGTAGGTTTGCGTCATATCCAAAAGTCCAGGAATAGTTATGTTTAATCATATTTGGTCGCTAGAGGCGGCGGCCTAGGCTTAGTAAACGAATTAAGCTAAAACAGTTCATTATCGCACGTTTCATTTAATTAGTCCAGAAGCGCCACTCTGGTCGTATTGTCCACACCTAGCGGTAGGTATGCTTTTTTATGTTTCCGTGATTCAATGTTGATAAGCCGGAGTACAAAAAGCCCTCGTGTGAATCATGTGAATGTGCGTACCTATGCCAGGATGTGGGTGTGGATGTAGGTATGCGATGTGAGGGAGAGAGAGAGAGAGAGAGAGAGAGAGAGAGAGGGGGGAGGGAGGGAGGGAGGGAGGGAGGGGAGGAGGGAGGCGAGTAGGTATGTGTGTGTGTGTGACTCCTGCGTGGCTTTTGGACGGACATGTCATCTGGTTTTTGTGTTGGCGGATGTGGTTCCGGAGCTGGCTCCCAGCGGATGTAAAAATCCAACAAAAAGGTGCTAGGTTTAAAGTGTTATGGGCTCATGAGTTACGTTTCCGAAGTCAGAATCCGGACAAATTCTGCGAATGACCAAGAAGCAGGTGTCTAACATTGGCATTTCGTTGAAAAGCAGCGGTGGTAAAGGTTCGTCCTACGCACATATACGAGTATGATAGCCCCGGAATGCAGATGTAGGTATTTTTTGTCCACCCCGATTGCCGTGCCGTAGTCTACGTCTGTTCCACATTTCTGCGCCTTGTGACCGTATGCCGGCCGTCCCACAGTGGCGCTACCACGCCGGAAACAGCTGGGGTCAGTGCGTGAACGGCTCGTACGCGGTCGGCTGCGGCCCCCAGGAGGAGTTCTACGGCTGCTCGGACGTCGCCGTCGGTGACGACGTTGGTCCGTCGGACTACCGGTGAGCAGAAACATGACGTCACAGGATACCTTTTGAGCTGACAAATCACTCCACATTAGCAAAAACTTGTAATATCATTGTGAAGTAATCATCATCTAGCCAAACCCTAATGAGACATTCAATGAAGCATTATTAGGGCAAAGTTAAGTCTGGCTGTTCATCTCTGACCAACATAATTGTTTGTTTTCAGTCCGACCGTGCCGGAGGTTCCGAATGAGGTGGACGAGGCGAGAAAGGCCCGGCCGATTCCTGCGGCGGCTCCGGTCCCGATTCCAGCACGCCCGGCGGCTCGTCCGGCCCGCCCGACCCGACCTGTCCAGTCGAAGGTCCGCCCGGTCCGCCCGGTCCGCCCGGCTCGTCCAGAGGTCCGCCCAGCTCGTCCGGAGGTCCGCCCGATCAGGCCGAGGATCCGCCCTGCCCGTCCGACCTCTCCGGCGACTTCAGCACCGACCACTGAAGTTGAGCCTGCCGCGCGCGTCTGTGTCAGCGTGGGTGCCATGTCGAGGGTACCCGGTATGGACGCCTGGTGTCAGCTCAACTGCAACCACTCTCCTCGCTACTGCCCTCCAGAGATCTGCAGATGCTGAGCGGCGCACTAACGAAATTCCGGAGATCTGTGGCCTGCCGAGTGCCAAGGCTTTCCTAGCATCTGCAGTTGTTGAGGGCGGCTGCCTCTCAGAGATCTGCAGTCGTTGAGGGATATCTTCCTGAGAGCTACAGCTGCTGAAATCGGGAGCCCCAGTCTTCTTTCTTCTTGAGATCAGCAGCTGCTGAGGTCCCGTAGACTATCGTCCATTGCTCATTGATCGTGCTTTGATGAACACCTTTGGGCATGGGATGGGCATTAGGTTATTGGGTATCGCAACACCTTGACATGTGAAGTTCCAAAAGTGGAACGATTCAGGGATGCTCCAGCGTTCAGTATTAATACAGCACTCAGGAGAGAAACAAGCCACAGTTCCGTGTGAATTCATATAGCATTGCTGCAGCGATTCAGTATGACATGACAAGGAAACAAAGATGATCAAGTGACCTGAACGAACATTGCAAATGACCATTCATTCACATTTGTTCTTTTACATGTGACCTTCCGGGACAAGGTCCACCGACAAGATGCCAGCTTGTACTCAGGGAGCCTGTAGTTGCTCTGACTGACAGCGAGACTTCGGAGACGACGTTTGCGATCCTTTTGGCATGCGCTATAGGGCATTTTATTCACTGTTGAGACATCGGCACCGCCTAAATTAGCCGGTGCATTACTACTGATGTCATCCATGTTTGCAAATATATCTGCTTATCAGCCTTGTCACACTGTGTTCGCTTCGCTTGCATGTTGTCAAATGTCTGCGTTTTTGTACCAATCAGGTACCTACATATCTACAATATGAGCACACAAAGATATAAAAAGTAGGACATGGGCAGTTGTGTAATTTTATATCATTTTGTGGGGATAGATGCATCCAAAATCCTGAAATATGCCCCCACAATGATGAAAATGCACCCACAAGTCTTTTGCAAGGCTACAAGCGTCCTTTCGAGAGCACCGCGCACTTCGCATGCTCTAACGGCGTCCTCCTGGCCGTCTCGCGTTCCTGGACATTAGCTGTTTTCACGACGGCCATCTGGTACACATTTGGTGCACATCTGGTGCAGATTAGGTGCGGATTTGGTCAGATTAGGTTCAGTTTGTCTCTTAGTAGCTCAACTAGGGTTGCACTAATTGCTTAATGCTTTGTCATATTATCATAGAGTATCATCGATTAAAAAGCACTGAAATAAATCCACATAATAAAGATATTTGCTGTAAAAGAGATTAGGTGCTGATTTGGTCAAATTAGGTGCGCTCGCCGGATAGCCCGTCGTAAAAACGGCTAATATAGCGTTTTTATCACTCGGCGCCCTTCTGGGAGAATGGCGCCCTTTTGACAGCACTGCGCTATTCTCATGGTCTAACGGACCGTGACTGATACGTGACTGAGACCGAGACTTGACCGTCTCGCGCCCTTATGTCTCTGTCCACCGTGCATCCCTCGACTGTTCGGCGCCCTTCTGGCCTCTCAGCGCCCCTGGACCACATGGCGTTTTCAATCACTCGGCGCCCTTCTGGGATTTTGTTTGTTTGTTTTGTTGGGTTAGGCCCTTTCGGTCCAATGAGACCATTTCAGAGCCGGGAGGATGATAGGATATAGGGGGAGACATTGGTCTGGGCAGGCACCCTAGTGAGTCGCCGGGGCTGAGTCCGTCCAGAGGACAGGCCACCCAGCCCCAAGGCACTCACTGCACCCGGCTACGGGGTGCGCTCCCTCGGGAGCAGCGGTGCCGCTCCAAGGGAGCAGCCCGCATGAGATAAAGTTGCCTGTCCAGCCCGGAGAGGGGTTGCGGCGTGGAGGAGAAGGATTTCAGTATCATTCCTGAGGATAGAAGCACGGAACGGTGCCTTCTGGGAGGATGACACCCCTTTTCATGGTCTCACGTCGCCCTCGTAACCGTCTGGCGCCCCTATGTCCCCACCAACTTGGCAGTGGCACTACTGACTGTTGGACACCCTGCTGACCTCTCTGCGCCTCTGGATCATATAGCATTTTTATCACCTGGCGCCCTTCTGGGAGAATGGCTCGCTCGTCATGGTCTCACGGCACCCTCGTACCTTTCTGACGTCCCTCCCTACGTCACCATTAGCCCGCGCCCTGCTGGGGGGTGTTTGAACACCCCCCTTGTGGTTTTTCGCGAATATCTCAAAAACGGCGGCGCGGAGCGCCGCCGTTTTTGGTACACCTTATCATACATCAATTCTACACATGTTGTTAAAATTTCAGACCAAGGTCATTCAAGGTCAGGTCACCAGGTCACTTGAAGTGACCTCACCTCATAAAAAGTTTAAATGTCTGCCATAGCTACACCGAGTGACTTTGAAACTTTTAGCGATTGCTAAGAGTAATAGCATGTACAAAATGTATATCTCAGAATTTTGATATCGATGACCTAAGGTCAGGTCAATTTTGCGACCTCCCCATTATAAGTCAATGGGAGAAAATTGAAATGCGCCTCTTTTGGACAAACGACATTATAAACACTCCAAAACACTGAATTACAAGTGGTTTAGACACACTGAACATGAAAATGGTGTCTGTGACCCCTGTTTATGCCCTTGAGGTCATCTTAGGTCACGAATGGTATCTAACAGTTTTTCGCAAATAACTTTTGATAGGTGCATGCTAGAGCGATGAAAACGCCTTAGATGTGTTCAGCTCGACGATACGGATCGACTGATATGCAACATGACCCTTTCCGGTCAGGTCATGACCTTGACCTGAGGTCAAATTTTCAAGTTGACCTTTCAAGGTCAAGTTATAGTTCATTCGATGCGTCTTGACGAGAGGAACACGATGCCGGTAAAAGTAAGCTCGTACAAGACTTGGGTCAAAAGTTATTGCAGAAAACTGTTTTCGAAAAATCGGCTATTTTTGCAGTTTTTGCCCCCTGCAAGCAAATCCGTTGACGTTAGGTCTAATCTGAGAGAATTACTCAGAAAGGGCGTTGATAGGGCTATCGAATGCGCTTTTCCGCGGCGCTGTAGCTCAGGGCATATTTTAACAAATTTTTACTGCGTCCCAAAGTTGAGCAGAGGGCACGTGCTACGACTAAGGGCACAGGGCAAGGAACAGAGTAGGGCACTGAGGAGGGCAGAAAGTAGGGCACGGCAGGTTGCAGGGCATGGCACAGGACATTTTAGAGGGAAGGCCGGGTACAGGACAGGGCAGACAGCAGGGCACAGGTGAGGGAACCGGACAGGGCAGGGACGCAGTGGGTCAAATCAGCAGGGGCTACGTCCCAAGGCTAGGGGGCTGCGTCCCAAAATGGGACGCAGTAAGTGCCTTAAAATATGCCCTGCTGTAGCTCTATTGGTTCCCGAGTTATGCGTTGGCTTCTTGGAAATTGTCGACATTCGACCTGGAAATCGGCAAAATTTTGCCTTCAATGACCTCTGGTGACCTGACCTTTGACCTGACCAAAAAATTGACCGAAGTGATTTCGTCGTTATTTTTGGCGCTCTTTCGAACGCCGCCTTCCGCGTATCGCTACGTGGCCCAGAAGCCGAGTTAGAAGGGGGGGTGTTCAGACACCCCCCCCCCCCCAGCAGGGCGTGGAAATCCAGGACCCCCAGCCGGGCGCGGGTTAACTTAGCGCTACTGACTATTCGGTGTTAGCTGGATGGCGCCCCTCTACATTTCTTTTTTTGACGCCCTTCCTGTCACTTTACACTTCTTACCGTGTATTTGCTTAGTCAGACATGTCGATTGAAGCGCCCTTCGGCTAGCGAGGTTATCAAATTCGGTGTTAATTTAGGCTCCCACATAAATAATGATCATTTGCGCCCCAAAGCGGCCTGGCGCACCTACAGCTGGGCACCCACGTCCCACAATCATTTTAGGAAAATTGCACCCCTGGACTAATAGGTAGGGTAATTGGGTGCATTTGCTGCGTTTCATAACGGTGCTCTTTCGGAGTTTTTTTTTGCGCAAACTCTAGCTCAATTAGGGGCGAAACGGCAAGGGGCTTCCAAATCTCCATCCCCTCCTCACACCCCCTCGGCCGGGGCAAATGTAGGAACCCCACAGGTCCTGCTTGCGCCAGGCTTGCCGCCGGCAGGTCGGTTATATGGCCTTGGGCAGGTCCACAGCCCCCTGGCCCGGTCCGGATTGGGATGACATGGGACCAGCGGTGTAACTTTCTATATGTATGGGGGTGCAGGTGCACCCCCATCCCTTGAAAGTGCACCCCCATCACGTCAAAGTGCACCCCCATAGGCTAAGCGGCGCCCCACACGCCGCCCGACACCGATAAGCTCTTGAGCTGATGGCGAGGGTGATTTCCCGGCTACATTCCGTCTCGTGACCGGCGTCGTGCTGCTTGCGGGTTTGGGAAGTGTCCAGTCGTATCGTTCCCCAAAAATGGGTAAAAGGGGCACCCCGGCAAGAACGGGACTTTCTCAGCAAAAGTGGAGCGCCCGAAATTTGGGGCACCTCCAACGTAGGTTGGGGTCGTCAAGCATAAGACTGGCGCCCCAGCGGAGGAGAGTCGCCCCCAGTAGGGATGAGGCACCTCAAGCAGAACATGGGTTCGCCCAGTAGAAGAGCGCACTCAGTAGAACACGGGCGACCCCAGCAGGAAGGGGCGCCTCACCAGAAGAAGGGCGCCCCAGCAGAAGAAGGGCACCCCAGCAGAAGGGGGGCGCCCCACCTGAACAGAGATGCCTCCAGCAGAAAAGGAGCGCCCTCAGCACAAGAATGGCTCCCCAGCAGAAAGGGGGCGCCCCACCAGAAGAGGGATGCTTCCAGAAGAAGAAAGACACTCCAATATAAATGGGGCACCTCAAGCAAAAGTTGGGCTCATCCAGCAGTAGTGGGGAGCCCCCAGCAGAAGAGGAGTACCTACCCCCAGCATAGGGCCGCCCCAGCAGAAAGGGGCGCCACACCAGAAAAAGGCGCCCTACCAGGAGAGGGATGCCTAAGGAAGAGAGGCGCCCCAATACAAAAGGGGCACCTGGAGCAAAAGTTGGGTTCGTCCAGCAGCAGTGGGGCCGGGGGGCGCCCCCAGCAGAGGTGGGGCGTCCCCAGCGGAAGTGGGGCATCCCCAGAAGAACAGAGGTCCCCAGCAAAAGAGCAATGCCCCCAACAGACATAACCGAGCACCTTCAGCAGAAGCTGAGCTGGCCGAGCAGAAGAGGGGCGCTCTAGCAGAAGAGCGCGCACCCGCAGAAGAGGGACGGTTCCACCAGAAGAGGGGCGCCGCCACCAGAAGAGGGGCGCCGCCACCAGAAGATGGGCGCCTCCAGCAGAAGTGGGACAGCCCCGCAAAAGAGGGGCGCCGCCCGCAGAAGGGGGCGCATCCAATAAAAATGGGACACCTGAAGCGGCAGTTGGGCTCGCCGAGCACAAGAAGGGCGCCCTCATTAGAAAAGGTCGAGCGACTTAAGCAGAAATTGGGCTCGCCCGGCAGAAAAGGGACGCCTCTAGCAAAAATAGGGCATACCCGGGAAGGGCAATGTCAGACTCCAGCAGAAAAGTGAGACCCCAACAGAGGAGGAGCGCCCATCAGAAGTAAGTCCCGCCGAGCAGAAGAGTGGTGACCTCAACAAGAGAGAGAGGCGACCCCAGCAGTAGAGTAGAAAGGCGCCCAATAAAAAAGGTGATTTCAGCAAAAGTGGGTGTCACCAGTCGCCGAGCATAAAAAGGGCACTCCGATTCTATAAAAGGTTGGAATAAAAAGGCAAAATGCAATTTCGTTATAGATTTAATTGATTGATTGATATTTGTGCAAACGAATTTAATGTCATTTCGTAATACCCAACTTTGTACCATTGGACTCTAACATTGGGGTGTTTAGTGTTCATATGTACAATTAAAATTCATTTTATTTCAAAAGTTTTTGTACCTACAAGTAGAAGCCTCGACATCCGTTTATTTGTGCGCCGGTTAGAGGGCCTTGGGTAAATATAAATGAACTGCAATCCCATTTGCAACATCCGACTGTGTTCAAACTAAATCGGAGGAACGCAAAATGGTGATCACTTTTAAGTCTGAATTTCGAAATATACCAACAAAGCATTTTACCGAAATTGAGAGACAAAGGCGCACACGAGGGGGGGGGCACACGGGCCCCTGCCCCCCCCCCCCCCATCCGAAAGGGGGCCATCTCAAATGGTTCTCAAATGAGCCCCTAATCTTAAGACCGCCGAAGACTGTCTAAAATGAGCTGAAATGACGATCAAAAAGACCAGGAGGGCCCAAATCGGACCCCAGAAGGCCCAAATGAGGTTATACAGTAAAGAATTTAGGCGTACACATGGATAGGCATCTGACATTCGGCAACCACATCGATCACCTCGTCAGAAAATAAATGTACCGGCACTCTGTTAGCTTTAGCCCATGCTAGTCACGTCATACCTCACTCTGTTCTTAATCAAGTCGTGTTGTCGTTAGTTCTGTCAACCATCCGGACATACTGTATGTCAATTTATGGAGCTTGCGGCATAATCCAGCTTCATCGCATTCAGAAACTGATAAAATTCAATGCCAGAGTCGTGTGTCGTAAGAAGAAATATGAACACAAAAGTCGTGAAACACGTCTAGGATTTCTGACAGCGTCAAAACCAGTCTAAAAAAAGTTAAATCTCTTGTCTGTGATCTCGCTACGAATCATTGTACTGACTTTTTATGTCGATGTGCCTAAATAAATACGCGAATTGACAAAGGGGGTGCTGCCCCGCTCATACACATCCGGGCCAACCCGTGATTAGCCTCCTCTTCTAGCTAGCCGGGGTCGGTCGGCCGGCCGGCAGTCAGGCGCTACCCGCGCTGATTTCTGAGGGCCTTGCATCCACGCTTATTAATCGAATATTCTACGTGATTGTAAAGATGGTGATAACTACTCACTGAATCGTATTTGAATGAAACATGCTGCGTAAACAAAAATGGAACATTAAATGCTTTGAAAATTGAACGGGCACTGAAGTAATTGTTTTATCATGCATCGACAGAAGCTAAGTTTCAAGTCAACCGAAAAATAATCGCGTTGGAAAACTTTTCGGCTGGGGCCTGGGACCCTTCGTCATGGAGGGCCCCAGTTTGCAGGTCGTGCTCCCCCTCCCGTTCAAAAATCCTGTGTGCGCGCCTGTTGAGAGATATGCACCATCTATTCTCCTTGGAAGCGCCCCTATCCTCATTGAAGGTCGCCCCCATCACCAAGTGCACCCCCGTCTCAAAAGCAAAAGTTACACCCCTGCATGGGACGGAGACCTCTTACCCAGCGGCTTGGTCCCTTATAAGCTAGAATTTCGCGAAAAAACGCCGTGTTGCCCTTGACGAGAGAAAGCCGATTATAGATAGTGCTCTATATACCGTGTACCCGACATTAAGGTGACAAGGTCGTAGTAGGTCATTGGTTGACCTTCGAGGCCAGGTCGATGACCTAGAGGTCAGGAAATCGGGAGCTACTAGAATTTCGTAGGTAAATTGAGACAGTTACGGTTTTTCAGGGTCCGATCTAAATTACAAATTTTATGTACACTGGTTCACGCAATTTCATATAATATGTGTATTTAGATTTGAAGATCTCTTGCCTGTTTTTTGCTGTCGAATGTTCACATATTTTTGCTTTTATGTCGAAAATACCCCATTGAATAATTTAGCAGTACTTGATTTGACGCTTTAGTCGCCTTTTGTGTTTTTACGATTGTGGCGCGATGCGTTTTGCGGCGGCGGGGGGGATGCGCGTCGTGGCAACGTCGTGGTAGTTAATTTCAGTGCAATTTGGCCTGTTTATGTTTAACTAGGTTACTTTACTGGTTAGTTCTGGTAAATTGATATTATATCATCGAATCGGTTGGTGTTTCTTGCGATGAGCTGGACGTCTTAGCCTCGAAAAGGTAAGCTCTTTTGGGCGGTTGATGAGCTGTTGTCCTTGAACACTGAATAACTTTCTCTTGTAGGTTTTAAGCTGTTTTGCATCCAGCCTAAATCATTAGTGTCTTTTGAAGCATAGTGAAGCTGTGTGCACGTTTCTGCATGATTTTTCTTAGGACTGTGATAGTAAGCGATATGCATTCCCTGATGTGCGTCGTATTTGTCTACGCAGTACTGCTATACTGTTTCCTTTCAAGTTTTGTGATTTCTTGTCAAAGAATTGCCATATATTTCCCAGAATGAATGTGCAGCTCAGGATTTGATTTATTTTTCCATTTGTAATTCAAAGTTTCTTGAACTAATGTCATTGTCAGCCAGCTTTAGTAGGTACCGTAAAACGGGGTGTTAAGGGACAGTTTTGAGGTGTTTTGTTATATAACTCAAGAAGGGTTGGAGATAGAAGCATCAAATAATCAGCATTTTATGTGGAATTTGGTGCTTTATATGCCTGCCACATTAAAGTTTTTAAGATTTATACCTACATACTATTTTTCATTATTTTTCATCACTGTCCCCTAGCACCCCAATGTGGGGTGTTAAGGGACACCTATATTATTTCAAGAAATGGTCATCAAATGCCCACAATTGGGGTGTGGAAGGGCACACAATTTATTTATTGAAATGTTTTGCATATTCTGTCACAAAACAAGTCAGGTTCATTCACCACTAATGACCTTTTTAGCCAATTACGTGTAATGCAGTTTACACTCCTGGAAAATGTGCTAATTATAAGATAAACAGAACCAAAAAGTACCCTTCTGTCATCAATAAAAACCCATGTTGAAGCTAGTCACTTGTCATTATGTTGCCCTCTTTGTCTTAGCCTTTTTATGATGACATCACATTTACCTACATCAGCCTCCATTGACCCATCATTGTAAAAGAGAGTGTTGAGATGTTTCGTTATATAACTTAAGATGTGTTAGAGATAAAAGCATGAACTTGCCAGCATTTTATGGGGAATTTGGTGTTTTCCATGCCTACTGAAAGAAATTTTATTTATACATTATTTTTTATTTTTTCTTCCCTGTCCCTTAGCACCCCACATCCACCTCAAAATATGCATGTATCCGGAAAAGAGGAAGAGGATGATGAATGAATGGGTGGATTTGCACAAGTTTTTCAGGAAACATGTGCAATACATGTGACAATACACCTATGCATTCATTTTCCCTGTACACCCACTAGTTTATGTGGTACACACAGAGTTTTGGAGATATTTCAATTTTGTGAAAATGTAGCATGATTTTCAAATCCATTTTTGAACCAAATCACTTGCATGAAAAACCATACCATTTTGTCCTATGGTCAAGAACAAAACAGTGTCAACTACCACACTGAAATTTTTATTGAACCTTCTCAAATTAGGAAGTTAATATGACTCAAAGTTTTTTCCATGCAACTGTCCCTTAGCACCCCACTGTCCCTTAACACCCCATTTTACGGTACCTAATCTGCATAGAATGCTGAGCTTCATTGCTTTTAGCTGCACGAAGGCATCGTTAGATATGTGAAAAGGTTACAAGTATGCTTAAAAAAGAAAAGTAAAGTCAATGTTGTTTTTGTTATGCATATATACTAGTGAAAATGGTGTGCTGTTTTCTGAATGCAACAACCATTTATCATTTCATTTTATTTAGCTGTTAATGCTGTTCTTTGAAGTTAGCCTCAATTTTAACTTATCCTAATAAAGCTATGTCTGTTTTGTTTCTCTTTTTGTTGTTTTGTAGTTTGCAAGTATCTAGAAATGTGCACTAAATCTGGCATGCTTAAGAAAAACAACATGCACATATGAATTGTCAAATTCTAACTAGTTTGTCTAACATTTTTTTGGTTCTGATAACTAGGGCTGTGAGTTATCTAATCGCATAGGGCATTGAAAATAATTTGGTAATCCTATAAATGTGTTTTGAGTTCAGTGTTTTTTTCTAGCAAATTAAACAAAATCATTAACTTTTTAAAAATAACTGGATTTTCAGCTAATTTGTCTAGTCGGCAGCACTTATTAACCCTCGCCCACACATGGGGGGTGGTTGCCACCCCCCCCCCCCCATGTAGTCTTTCTGCTCTGCACTTAACATTTTTAGAGCTAGAAGGCTGATTTTTCGTATAGCTGCTCCTCTATCCTTTCTTGATGTCCACTGAAAATTTCAAGTTTCTGTGATTTTTTGTTCCGGAGATATGACATTGTTTTTCAGGTCATGTCATGACCCAAATGGCCAATTCTCAACATCTTGCGCTTGCCATGGGCCTTGTGAGCTTTTGACACCCTGATTTTGGCCTTTTTTGCCAGTCTTACCTCCCACCTATCATGGAACATGTTGTTCGACGATGTACAGGGGTCAAGGTCAGGGTCAAGGTCAACCTAGGTCATCTAAGATAATTGCGTTTTAGGCAAGCTGAATTTACTTTTTGTGAAGTTTTTTGACTGCTTTTTTGGTAAAAGCTTCTCAGATCATGATTTCATGTAATATGGACCCAAAAACAATCGGTGCACACATCAGTAGGGGAAGTTGGGGCAATGCCGGAGTTGGGGCAAAGCCGAAATTCGAGATATTTCGAAAACCGTAAGACATGGATGCCACCTGTCAGTGATGCTCTGAAGCTTAAGTGACTACAATTATCGCATGTTTGTTACGAGTCGTCATTCGGAATACTTCGACTGTGAGGGCGCCAAGAGCGTTTTCAAGGTACGTTTCCCTTGTACTACATGCGCCTTTGAAGCTGCATTTCTTACTCATTATGCTACCGTTTGTCTGGCCAATTCGGTCAAGTAATCTTTAGCATGTCTTTGCATAAGTGTGCTGCATATTTGAAATTTATACAGCACGTTGAAAAGTTATGGGCCTGCAAATGAAAGTATGGCAGGCTGGGGTAATGCCGAAAACGTGCGATTACGCACGTGTTAAAAGCACGCTACGTGGACTTTACTGCTGTAGAATAGCAACGCGTATTTTTAGTCACACAAATTACACTTTCAACCGACACAACGGCCTGTTACCTATAAGGAATGATTTACCTGGCATGTTCTTACTATATCACACAATTATAACTTCCAGTGTGCACCGCGTCCTCAAGCTCTTAAAACGCGTGTCAGCTTTGATCAATTCTGGATAAAGTTTTAGATAAAATGGCAAAACATCAATGTCGGCATTCCCCGTAGATCATTTCTCCCATTTTCGGCTTTCCCCGCAGTCCGGGGCAACGCCGAAAAAGTCACTTCTTTGATATTTTTAGTTTGTGCGCTTAACGGTATGCGAATTCATCAAATGCGCCTGGTATGTTTGAAAGGCAAAAGACTGGCCTCTCGAATGACGCCAACAAGAATAGCTTATGTTGTCTACCTTGCGTGCTACGGGCGTCAGAAAAAAAGTCTTCGGCGTTCCCCCAACTTCCCCTATACACACAGACACACACAGACATACAAACACATATAATTGACCTTGACCTAACTTGACCTGAAATGACCTCAGCAGCAAAATTCTGGTCGGGTAGTGTGACAAAGAGGTTCTAGCTGGCTTGCCACCAGAAAACAGCATCGTCATCGGTATTTGATAAGCAGCGCACTTGATATCCAATGGTGACCCAAAACAGCAATATTTTTTTGTTTGACCTGACCTGGAAGGTCAATGACTGACCTGAGAAGGTAAAACTGGGTATCATTGGATTCGTCTCTTCCCAAAGAATCTTTTTGGTCTTTACTGCTAAGCTCTATCTCCAACAGGAACGAAATGGCGCGGGGGGGGGGGGTGGCAACCCCCCCCCCCCCCATGTGCGTTCTAGGATGGGAAAATGGCATGTGCGGGCGAGGAATAATATTAACCCTTTGGATGTGCTTTTCTTACAACTCAATTCTAAAGTGCACCAGTTTTTCTTATACAGCCCTTAGAACCAAAAAATGACTAGGCATAGTTCTACTGTTAGGCATCAATATTTGATATTCCTCATAATAAATGAAAAGGCTCTATTGTGCACCTTAACTCCATTGACTCATATATAAATCCTACATGGGGGTATTTTCAATGGAATGGTTACTCTGTGGAAGTTTTATAAAACTTTTATTAGTCTGTGTACTGTAAAATTCCCTAAATTAAAAATATTTTGGGTCACATAACTTTTTGATGGGTGGGAAAACTACGAGCTGTTATTTACTGGTACTCTGAATTAGGTAATGTGCTTTGTGCTAGTAGCTACACTTCATACTTTCTTTGTGTCCTCACTATTCCATGTTTAGGTCTGAGACTAACTATCCATAACTATAAGGAGTTCAACTCTGCTATTTCAACATCCCTCTCTCATAAAGGCACTGGTTTGCTGCCATTTGCAGCTGCTCATTGTTAAGTATTAAATGCTTATATTTCAGCTATGCTGCAGCAACAGGCCATAGTCTCTCTCCTTGCTGACGTTTGCTGTTGTTGTGTGCTTTCAGAGGGGTCCCGCTGCAATGCCTGTGCGCAAGTGTCGCGGCGGCGGCGGCGGCGGCGGCCCTCCGTCCCCGGCGCGGCGCGCCGCCGCCGGCCACCGGCTGCCGGCGCCGCTGCCGGCCGGCCTCACACTGACGGACGTGTCGCAGCAGCGCTGGCGGCTCGGCCGCTCCATCGGCTCCGGCGGCTTCGGCGAGATCTACTCGGCGGCGCGCGACTCGTCCGCAGAGGCCAGCCACGCCATCAAGGTGGAGCCGCATTGGAGCGGGCCGCTCTTCTCCGAGATGCACTGCTACCACCGGGTGGGCCGCGCCGACACGATCGCCGCCTGGCAGCGCGCGCGCCGGCTCCGGCGGCTGGGCATGCCGCGCTTCGTCGGCAGCGGCTCGGTGGAGCACGCCGGCGAGCGGTACCGGTTCATGGTGATGGACCGGTTCGGCTCGGACCTGCAGCGCCTGCTGGACCGGCACGGCGGCCGCTTCCCGTTCGGCACCGCGCTCACCATCGGACTCCAGGTGGTGAGTAGCGCGGGTCGCGGCGGCGGCGGCCGGGAGGATGGTCTGCGTGCTGGACGGAGGAGATGTCTGGGTAGGATGGCGTCGAATAAAGTGCTTTAACATCTCTGCTTTTCACACTTGTGCTCGGCCTTCGGCCCCATCCATATCGTCACCATTTCAGCTGCTGTTCCTTCAGTAGAATCTATCAGTCCTCATTTTCCTTGGGTGCATACTGCATAATGATCTCACCCCTAAGCCCGGGCAAGTAGGCAGCTCGCTTTACCTCGTGAGGATGATTATGCTCTAATAACCATTTCATCTGACACAGACTACGTTTGTCGTTTCAGCTGGACACATTAGAGTATATCCACAGTCGGGAGTATATCCATGCCGATATTAAAGCTCAGAACCTCCTACTTGGCTACAAAAGAGGCACCGAAAACCAGGTAAGGTTTTTATTTCTGGGCGTTGGAATTACTTTGTATGTTCGGCTCACTGCTCATGACCGCTGGAAGTCAGGACCACATGTAGTACCACCCAGTTTGGACAGTCTAACGTGTCTACTGTCTAGTTTATTGTCAACAAGCTGCTTGGAAACATCAGTGTCGGCAACCTTCTGTCAAAAGAGAAAATGTAATAATTCGTTGCACGTCTTAGCTTTTAGACCAATCTAATGTGTGTAAATGTATGTGCTGATCCATGTTTTAAACTGGCGTCGCTCGCCTCCGCCGCCGCAGGTCTACCTTGTGGACTTTGGCCTGGCGTGTCGTTACTCCCTGAACGGCCGCCACAAGCCGTACGGCTCCGACCTGCGCAAGGCGCACGACGGCACCATCGAGTTCACCAGCCGGGACGCGCACATCGGGGCGCACTCTCGGCGCGGCGACCTGGAGATCCTGGGCTACAACCTGCTCCAATGGACGGCCGGCCGGCTGCCCTGGCAGCACCTGCTGCATGACGCCGACCTGGTGGCTGCCGAGAAGAACCGCCACATGCGCCACATACCTGGCCTCGTGTACGCCTGCTACGGCGACTCGCCGCCGCCAGAGGCCGGTGAGTGCGGTGCTGAGAGAGATAGTACATCGGTGGACTAGCTAGGGAGTTTGTGAGCCGTATGCTGACCTATGTCACGTATAGGGTGGAACAGATTGTATTCGTTTGCTTCGTAGAGTAGTGGACAGCGAGAGCGTTATTTGAGTTATGTCGTTGATCAGTTTGCAATGCGTAGTGGCCCATTGTTTAAATACCTCTCCTCCCCGTCCACAGAGGTGCTGGCGCAGTACATGCAGATGGTCTCGGTGCTGGGGTTCGACACGGCGCCCGACTACGACGCGCTGCGGGACGTTCTGAGGGCCGGCGCCGGCCCGTCGGGCGCCGGTTGTGCCCGCCTCGAGTTCTCCTGCGCTGCCGCTGCCGCCGCCGCCGCCAAAGCGGTAAGTGGGGCTGTGTGCGGGTCGGTTGTCGCCGCCGCTCGCGCCGCTCCCTCCGCCCTGTCCGTGACCGGTGGCCAGTTGCAGGGACCGGCTGGCCCGCGGTGGAGGAGGCGTGCTGCCGAGAGCGACCCTCGGCCGACCGCCGGGCGCCGCGGCGCGGTGCACGCTGCCGCCACCGGAGACCGAGCTGTGCTGCGAGACCGCCGGCACCCGTGGCGGACCACAAACGGTGGTCGGAGTGGCGGGCGGCGTCACTGCGAGCAGCGCTGGCCGGCTCGGTGATCGACTGCGAGAGGACCCCGGCCGCCAGCCGTGCCTCAGCCGACTACCGCTGCCGACGGACGCTTGTAAACCATCTGGCTTTCAGGTTCCAACGGAAGGGGGTTTGCTTTATTTTGTGATATTTCGCTGTGATAGTCTGGTGACTGGGTGAATATGATTGTCACTAACATGTGAGCTCTGAGAATACATGCCGTTTGCGAGGCGTGTCGTTTTGTTGGGGACAGCTGGACCAAGCATGAACGCCGGAGCAGCGGTCAGTGGCTGTAGCTGCCGCCGGGGATACTCAGCACTACCGCCGAGCTGCCAGCGAGACGCGCCGCGCGCCGGTGCGCCGCAGGCAGGGTCTGACCGTCCGGCTCGGTGTGGCGTGTTGCAGGACGCCGCGCCCCGCTCGTGCTCCTGCTGGTGCTGCCGCCGCCGGGCAGCGCCGGTGAGTGCGCCGCCGTCCGCTCGGACCGGCGCCCTGACGGTGAGTGCCGCCCGCCGCGCGCCGCCGCCGCCCCGCCCGCACGCCGCGCCGCCACCGCCGTGTCTGACCGGTCGCCCCCGCCCCCGCCCTCAGGCCGCCGCCACTGCCAGCCGCCGCCGCCCGCGCTCACGCTCAACGGGCCGCCGCCAGCTGCCGGCCGCCAAACGGCGCCGCACCGGCCCGGCCAGCCGCGCCAGCAGGTCAGTGGAGGTGGACGGGGAACGGGGTGCTGCCGGGAAAATAGCCAGGACACTTCTTTCATAAAATTGTGCATTATGTCACTAGTTCATTCTAATATCATTGTATTGCTGATGGCCGATTCGAGTGCTCGTTTTCTAATCCCAAGCCATGCAAAAACCCCCCTTTGTGTCTATTCGCATTCTCCCTTGAGCTGGCCTTTAACGAGACGTGTTTTCCCGATCAGCGGCAGCGGTCAGGAGAACAGTCTGGGTCGCGCGCAGCGGCGGCCGGGCGGGCGGCGCGGCCGGCCCCCGCTCCGACTGGTCACCGACAATGGCGGCCCGCCACCGCCGCCGCCCCCTCCTCCGCCGCCACCCGACGAGTCGCCGGTGACGACGCCCTCGCTGCGCTCCGACGGCAAACTGCGTGATTTCGACTGGCAGCACTTCAACAAAATGGTGGAGGAGGCGGGCCGTCGCCGCACCGCCGCCCAGGTGGGTGTCTACTTGGTCGGCGGTCACTCGTTTACTGTACCTTGCGCCACGTCTTTTTGAATCATGCTTCTATAACGAACGGAGCGTTTGCTACGCGTTTTTTGTCGTAGCGAGCGAGTAAAATGATCGCATCAGGTGGTTCATCATTGTGGCGTATGTATGCCAACACTGGGTTTTTGTTACACCTTCGGCTTGGCACGCATCTATGTAGGCGGAGTTTGAAATAGTGTTACCGTGCACTGACTCGTGCCAAACTCGGGTTGAGTCAGCCCTAGTAGATACAGTGGCCTTTCTTTGCCGTGATACCTTCTGCCGCCGTCAGTCTAACCCAATTTTTCACGAGTGCAGGCCGTCTCACTGACCCTCTTTCTCCTCGTCACCTGAGTATGATCGTCCCACGGATCCTATCTCTCCTCTGTACGGGTTGTTCCACTGACTACCCGCCCCAGAGTATGGGTTGTCCCACTGACCCTACCCTTCCTCGTCAGCGGCCGGTGGATGAGGGTGACGGTGCCGGCGGCGACACCTCCCCGGAGCCGGCACCCATCGTCTACGAGAGCCTGACGCCGGCCATGCGAGAGGTGCTGGCCAAGCGGCAGCAGCGCTCCCCGGAGAAGGGCGGCAGGAAACGCAGTAGAACGGTCAGGTGAGCATTTCATCGGTTTGTGTTATAGTCGTGAATCATCTAACGTCGTAAGGTAAGATTTTCAGTGGTTTCACTGAGTAAAAATTGTTTAAAGTAAAAATTATTGTTTAATTGTTCTGGTGACTGGCGGAGTAAAAATTGTTCAAAGTATAAATTATTGTTGAATTGTTCTGGTGACTGAGTAAGGATCCAGTTGTGCGTTGTTTTGCCGCTGCACAGCGAGAGCAGCAGTACGCTGACGCTCCGCTCCTGTGCCCCGTTGTGTGCTGCAGTCAGAGCTGCCCGGAGTGGACGGGCGTCGGCTCCCCAGTGACGCCCGCCATGGCCGCTGTGATGCTCATCCGCGCCCGCCGGCTGGCGGCGGCGGCCCAGGAGTCGGCCGCCGCGCGCCGGCTCGGCAAGGCGTCCGGTGGCCGCCAGCGCCGCGTGGCCAGTCTGCTGTGCACGCCCGAGCCGCGGCCGACGCTGCGCGCCAGCCGCCGGCTGCGGGCGCTCCAGTGCAGCCCGCGGGCGGTCTGAGCGGCGACGGACGGCGGCGCAGAGTCCAGAGATTACAGAGGTTTATCGACTGGCGCCGACAGACAGTGCGGCCGAGCTGGCCGTGCGCGGTGGCGGTCCCTCTTGTGTTACAACGCGTCGACGAAGTGTCTATCCGTGATTTAATTGTGCGACTCATCAAATGTGTCCGGAATCGACGCAGTATCTGCGCGGATAGCGGTGCGCTCCGTGCTGCTGCGATGAGCCGAGGTGTGCGCTGGGCGGTGCAGCGCTTCTGGTCGACGGAGGACCAGCCGCGAGCTGGCGAGAGTCGCGCCACCGCTGGCGTCACAGTCAAAACAGAATGGGGTTGGTGTGTGCAATTTATGTTGGGGCGGCCGCCATTTCAGTGAGTGGCATCGAACGAAATCATGAACTTACGGCTCAGGAGCTGGTGATTGACTTATTTCCGGCATGTGGCTGCGCTCGTGCGCCAGTGCCGGCCCATGCCGCAGCCGGAGGAGGCGACTGCCGGTCAGCTCCTCCGTCGCGGCGCGCGGTTTATCGGTTCGTTATAACCGGCGTAATTCCCCGGTTGTTTATTTTTTCAATGGTGCACGTGCGGCCAGAGTGAATCGTGGAGAGCTCCAGAGTTTTCCGGGAGTGCGGATATCCTTCCACTCTCTTCTGTTCTGTGATAGTTTATTTCATAGTTGTGTATAATAAACTTTACTCAAATAAAATAAATGTTCTTTACGTCACTGATGCGATGGGATACACGCAAGGGCGGTCACAGCGCATCCAAGGCGGACTCGCATGGGGGGGGGGGGGCGTTACATCGACGCTTGACCACACCTTACACATGGTATGACACGAATACATAAAATAAGCCATTCCATTGACGTAAAAAGCATTCGGTTACATTTCTTGAAAGAGACATCGCCGTTCTCACCATTCCGTTGGTTTCACATTTGTTCACACGCTGGCGACGAAAGAGCCAGTACTGCGTCTGGGAATGAATAAGGAAGAATGTACGCGCATCGCACAGAAAGTTCAACGTGATCACAGACGCCGCCGCTACCTCTGGCCCGTTATTTTCGCCACCATCTGTCCGATACGCTGCTGACACTGGAGATCGGAGAGGCCACGCGCCCACTCCGGCATGGCGTCCTCCGGCAGCCGAACCGCCTGCATCGCCCGCCGCACCGCCTCCGTCTGGTCCTCAGACATGTGCCCCGTCCCAGAGGAGCTCTCCCGATCCCCGGAACGGTCCTTCAGATCGGTGGCATTGCACTCCTTTCTAGCGGAAAGGCGCTTGTGATCGGCAGTAGCGGTGATCTCTTTGGGACCTCCTGCTGCAGCTGTGCGAGCTTGGGTGTCCTGCGAGGGGTCCAGCTTCACCGCAGCTGAACAAGATGTGTGCTCTGAGCTTGGTTCAGGGTTGTCATCTGAAGCCTAGTGAAAGGAAACGGTCTTAAAACATTGGACAGTGGATAGCATACATGGCAAAATGGACTGTTAATGAGGTAACATGAGGCAATATATTAATGTGGTTAATGGAATGACAATTACTTTCTCCAGGTGCCCTGTAGGATTAGGCAATTGAACAAGGCAGAAAACAGCTTGTAAATACTTACCTGCTCCTCAGAGTTCTCTTCAGGCCACTGTATTGTCATGAATATTCTGTGGTGCTGGTTGTCATTGTCTACCTCAGAATCATCACTGCTGCTATCCTATGGAGAGTGAAACAAGCAAAGCAGGTTATTTAGGGCAGTCATTCATTGACAGTGCAGGCATATATCTGCATTTTGCCTCACCTATAGCATTATTGACAGTCCAACATCAAACTTTCTCATAAGGTTTTTAGTTTAATGTTTACCTGGTAGCATCCACATAGCATTCCAACAGACTGTATGGCTAGGTACGCACAAGCACACCACCAACAAGACAAATCACTTTCACCCAAATATCTGCTTGCCACTTACTGAGGATTCACTACAAGCATCTTGATCATCAACTGGATGAGATGACAGTGGTCGGTATCCATCTAAAGCTGCCTCATCTTGCCTTCTTGTATCTTCATTTTCAAAATCATTTAATTTGTTCTGAGCATGTGGAGGCTCCGGAGGCATAGTTTACAAATTCAAAATATAGCTACCACGGCACCTACTCGATAGCCAATGGGTCATGGAATGGAAGGAATGATGATGTGCTGCTTTGACGATCGGAATGGAAAAGTTTTAAAACTGACATGGACAAAGTGTGATATTCTGCAAGTGCAATAAGTAAATTACAAATGCTCAAACAAAACACCGTAGGCATATAGAAACCCAAGATTCTTACAGATAAACAAGGCCCGCAACGCCCTAAATATAGAAGACTAGCTCAAAACGTGCGTCAGATAATTAGAGTTGTTGTAGGTACTTGATGCTGTTTTGGGTTAGGCGGTTACAGCCCAGGCCCCAGGCGGTTAGGCAGATTATTAGAGGGCCTTGGTGAGATTCGTCAGATTCAACCATAGATAATAATCGGAGATAATCGGATTCAACCTTTATCTTTATACGTTTTAGGGCCTTGGATTCAACCGATTCAACCAATAAGCAAATCAAAAAGGTCCTTCTTATACAGCCTTGCTTCAGAATCATCTTCTGACGTTTAGAGGTATTGAGAAACGCTTCCATAGATTTCTTTTTCAAACGTTTTATTTTTATTTGATCATTTCAATTATACCATCTTATATAAAAGTGAAGAGAAAACTGAGAAATTTGATGCAAATTGCACGTTATTCTTATCGTAATACCCGACAAAATGAAAAAGAACCATATATTTAATGACGTCATGTTTCAATTTATCTTTTCACCATTATTTTGAAAAGTTTTTAAGAAGAGGCAAAAGCAGCGCATTCTATTTATAACTTATCTGCTGCTCTTTTCATAAACTTTGTCCATCCTACAATTTGATTCGTCCATTATCTGCTTGCTCTACTACAACAAAGGCATTTGAATGCTCATCACTGCTCATCCTAATCTGCGTGGATCTGCAAGCTCAGTGCTCTTATACGGCCTTGGCTCAGTGTAGGGACTAGGGAGTGGTGAAGGCAAGGAAATATAACATAGGTGAAGGTGGGATTTCTATATTCATATCAGTTGATATACTGTGTGAAGGTGGTGCAGAATCGTTGTTTATCCACGTCCGCAAAACGGGTACTGTAGCATTTTATCGATTTTATCTTTCAGTTCTGTGTCTTAAAATGGTGATGAATTTGATGCCTGACTCTGTTTGATGTGTGCTTAGAATGTTTCTACTATCCACTATCTTTGTGGGTTTTAGAAGTTCGCTTTAGCTGATATTGTGTGCATTTGCATTTTGCAATTCTTACAGTGGGTCCGGTACCCAGAGAATGTTGTGGGCCCTATAATGCCCCTAACTCTCACAGATATAGGTACTTATGGGAATGGGTTGTTGGGAAATCCAAACACACTGATCTTGAAACAGATACTGAAAGACAAATAATTTGAAGAGTTGTTTGTGCATCTTTTCTGCAGTTATGTAATATGGTTTTCTCCCAACAGATTCCAGGCCGATATGGTGGCCCATTGTCTTCTGCACGCCCTGGGGGCTACCATCTTCGCTGGCTGCACTTACTACGACACCCATGTGTTGTTCCTCACGGACCCAGACGACCCACACCACCATGTTGTGAAGCAGCTGGCCTTTGAGAGGGACCGCTTGGGTGGACGATGGAAGTATCTGACCATATGGGGCCTGGTGAGTGTTGCAACTGTGTGGTGAGCTAGCAGCTGGTTTTTGGTATGTCAGCATGTATAGCTTATCTAAATTGAATGGGTTCAATCATACATAGAACAGTGTCTGCTGTTTGTAAATTACACATTTATCCTCTCAAGCTGAATTTCATCATCTTCTTTCCAGACCTGTCAGCTTGTTTATTACTGCTTGGCAGTGGTGAACGATCTCTTTGGCAGCAACACTTTCGACAAGAGCAAGGTCACCAAGCTGCAGAAGATCCGTGACGTCTTCTTCACATCCATTGCTCTTCCCGTGGGAATGGTGAGGACTGGCAGCTCGAGCTATGAAGGTTGTCAGTAGTACTCATTTCTGTTTCAACACAGCTATGTATTATCCTAACCAATTTTTATTATATAATAAAAATGGTTAGGATAATGCTGACAGCAACATGGCTTCAACTTCAATGATTCCTGAAAAAATGCTTTGTACGCAGTTAAACATCTAGATGTGTCCCTTGTCTGTGTATTTTGTCGAGAACATTTTAACCGCTCGAGTTTTGTCGCCGGATATTTGGGTTAGATGCCGTCCCGATATTCCCTTGATATCACCACCGACACGGTTCTCTTTCTGCAGCTGGTGAGCATCATGTTCTGGGGCGTGTTTGTCGTGGACCGTGAGCTGGTGTTCCCGGCCATCCTGGACGCGCACTACCCGGCGCTGCTGAACCACGGCGTGCACACCATGCCGCTGCTGATCGGCCTGCTGGAGGTGGCGCTAGAGCGACACAACTACGCCTGCAACCGGCTCTCGCTCGGCCTGCTGCTCGGCTTCCTCGCCACCTACCTCGGATGGTCAGTGACTACTATATACTACAGACGCTCCGTGTTGGTCGTAGTATTGAAGTGTTTTGTTGAGCTCCAGAGTGGCAATATAGAGTGGAATATAATGGAATATAGTCTGCTATACGATTTCGAGAGATACTCAATGGAGCATGCATCACCTGCGAGCGTTACTTGCGCCGTTTATCTTACATTAGCTGATAACACGGAGCCTCGTGTCAATTGTGTGTCTAGTAATCTGACAGTCACGTCACACATGTAAAATGGTAGGTGAATTGGCATAGTTTCATCTTCCGGTAGAGGGTATCCCCTATCTAAACCTGTCTCTTATGCCGAGTGTCACTAATTGCACCCCCCCCCCCCCCTCGCTACCCATATCTGTTTATGGACAGGACGCTGCATTTGGCGCTGGTGGAGAACCTCTGGGTGTACGGCATCCTGCGCGTGCTGAGCTGGCCCATGCGCGTGGCGTTTATGGGTGTGAATCTGCTCATCGGAGTCTGTCTCTTCTTCCTCGGCAAGGGATTCGATAACTTCGTCTGGGGTGAGTTGGCCGACGACGGGGCTGAATGGTGGGGCGGGGCGATAGCGCCTATCGGGTGAACGATACATGATGTCGTTATGCGATACAGATGTACTTGTGGACCGTGTTCCTTAGCTCAGTGATGACTTGCCTTTTGTGGCGGACGTGATAAAGCTCAGCACGTGTCTATGTGCTCGGTATCATATTGTCACCCTATCCGCTGATAGCTCGTGGTATAAGCGTGTTCGCAAATTAAAGTCACTACGTCAATAATATCAACATCAGTGTTAAGAAGAGTATCGCTATCGACCAGTCATGCAGTCTTGGCGACTACACAGCACTATAGAGTAAACTGTATAGTCGCGTCGTGTTCTCCCCAGTTTTTCGGTCTCTCCAGAACTAACACGGTAACACTTATTCCCGTCTGCCCCTGCAGGTAACGAGAAGGCTCTGGCGCAGGTGGACTCGACCAAAAAGCGGCGCTGATCTGCCGTTCTCTCTCTCCGCCTCTGGTCGGTAAGCTCCCTGCCAGCTAATACCGTAAGCCTTCTGCCGGGGCGCCGGAGATAGGCATAGTGAAAGGAACACTCATCGGTAAATGTGTCGCGTCACCCTTCGGCGTTTTCGCCTGCTAACGATGAGTTGCGCTGGCTGATGACGAAGCGAAGGTGTAATCGTGCTGGTGTCACACGTCTGTTGACGAACACGGCCGGCCGCAGTCTGCACAGTGATTTTGATTTAGCGAGATTATAATTTGATTGTAGCGGATAGATTATTTCACTCAAGGATAAGATCAATGCATTGTCTATTAGGTATGTGCCGGCGATACGTGCCGTTTAGGATTGGCGATGTTCTTTGGATAGCTGCAGATGCAACGAGCCCCGATTCATATGGCGTAGCGAATACCACAGTACCATGCGTTGTGTATGCTGGTGGTGTTGATTCCCTGTCGTTTGGTTACCGTTTCAGTTTGTACGCGTCATGCAACTGTGGACCTAAGTTTTTCTGTTTATTACGCGTCCGGACGGAATGCCGTCCACTAGTCAGATATACAACGATCAACTTAATTGTTCTACGCACAAGTGATCACAATCACATTGTGATTTATTGTTGATTGATGAAGTCGATTTGATGTCATAATTGTTACATATTTGATGTAGGTGACTTATGTCGATAATGCACTGGTACAGCAATAAATCCTTAACACATCCAAGCTGGATGATTTTTGAGGGATGCAGGGTGCAGCCAAAATCTGCCAGCCGTTTGTGCTCTACTCTGTAATACACTAAATCGAGCGTGAATCAGCCGCAAGAGCCCAGTCTGTCGCTTCCTAACCTCGACCTACCAACTTCAACGCAATCTGATCGCGTGCGGGTTAACCATGCGCCTTGTCGTGGCCGATACTCAGTGAGGAAGCGTCTCTGATAGCACGTCGCCGTCGTCCAGGGGGCCGGGCTCTGTGACGATATCCTCAGCACGGTACCGGATGTGAGGAGGGTGCACGAATCTCCCCCAGCACGACACCGGGCATGGAAGAAACGCAGTGTGACCGGCGGATGATAGTCAGGCACCCGGTGTGTGCCACTTCGGGCAGTAGTCCTCAGGGGAGCTCAGGTACAGAGCTGAGCACTCGGCACCCAGTGCTGCCAGAAGAGGCCCTGGTGCTGTGAGCTCTGCCAAACAGCTCCACAGCTGCGCACTCAGAGAGCTTCAGTGCGGCCTCGCGGTCCCTCCGTGTCTCAGCGGCCGACCTGTCCATCTCGCGTCCAAGGCGCGGAGGTCGGCGTGCGCCCGGCGTCGGCCGCTCAGGCTGGCCGGTCGTACCGAGCGCGGCAGCGCGGCCGGCCGGCGTGCCAGCGCCGCCAGGATGGCCGGCGCCGTGCTGCCGGCCTTCTCCAAGCTGAGCGCGCTCCTGCACACGCGCGAGACGGACCACCAGCTGGACACGCTCGTGATGCGCCTGCACCACCGCGCCACCGCCCGGCTCCTGCTGGTCGCTGCCTTTGTCGTGAGCACGCGCAGCCTGGCCGGCGAGCCCATCGAGTGCTCCACGGACGCACGCGTGCCGCGCCAGCTCATGAACAGCTACTGCTTCGTCACGGCCACGTTCAGCGTCACCGGCGGAGGAGGCGGGGAGACGCCGGCCGGCCTCGGCCGAGGAGGGGAGGACACGGTGAGGAGACACTCCTACTACCAGTGGGTGCCGTTCATGTTCTGCCTGCAGGCGCTGGCCTTCTACCTGCCGTACGCGCTGTGGAAGCACAGCACGGGCAGCGTGCTCCGGGACTGCCTGGCCTTCCAGGTGGACCAGCCCGACACCACCATGCACGCTAGCTCCACCAAACTCATGTCGTTCGCCGGCTATCTCTCGGCACGCATGGGCAAGGTCAACCAGAGCATCGTCAAGACGTTCTTTTTCGTCGAGCTCGCATGTCTTCTGAACGTCATCGGTAATCTATTCCTCATTGACCTGTTTCTGGGTGTGGACTTCGGCCGGTACTGCGTATCGCGCGCAGCCGCCCTGCTCACCGGCACACCGCCCGAGCCCGACCTCGTGTTCCCGCCGCTCGCCAAGTGCACGTTCGCCAAGTTCGGCGCCTCGGGCACCCTGGAGCGGGTGGACGCCGTCTGCGTGCTGCCGCACAACGTGTTCAACGAGAAGCTGTTCGTGTTCGTGTGGGTGTGGACGGCGCTGCTGGCGGCGCTGACGGTCGTGTACGTGCTGTTCAGGGCGGTCACGCTGGCGGTGCCCAAGGTGCGCCGGAACCTGCTGCTGGCGCGGCTGGTGCCCGAGCTGCGCGACCACGGCCGCCAGGTGTTCGAGCAGTGCACGGTGGCCGACTGGTTCCTGCTCTGTCAGATCGGCCGGCACATGGACGCGCTGGCCTTCAGCGAGCTGGTGCGGCACCTGGCCGCCAGTCACCAGGAGCTGCTGCTGCCGGCCATCAGCGTGGCGCTCTCCCGGCGCGCGTCGCAGTGGTCGGACGGCCACCGGCGGTCCACCGACCACCAGACCAAACTGACCGGCTGATCTAACCGACCGGCGGTCTATGGACCACCAGACCAAGCTGACTAAAACTGACCGACCATCATACCAAACTGACCGGCTGATCTAACCGAACTGACCGGCCACCGACGGTCCACGGATCACCAGACCAAACTGACTGGCTGAACGACCATAGTGACCGGTCATCGGCGGTCCATGGACCACCATACCAAACTGACCGGCCACCGGCGGTCTACGTATCATCAGACCAAACTAACCGGGGTCGGACGACCGGCCAAACTTAACGCCTGAAGTTCTGAACTGACCGCTCAGCGCTCCACCCACCAAGGGACCAAATTTAACTTCTAGATTTGACTTTGGAGTAGCGGATAGATCAAATGATGTGGCAGACAAGTGTTCCTGATTTAGTCCTAACACATGACATTAGTGACGTCATCCGCGTTTCTCGTGCTTCTGTGACAGCATTAGACCCGGCCCCGGGAATATGGGAAATACACATGGTTCGGCGGAGAGTACCTAGCCTTATTCAGCGGCAGCTCCATAGGCCGTGGGTGCCTTCGCAGGTCCCTCGACGATAGCTGTGAGCAAGAATAAAAAACAAGTGTTTGCAGGTACTTCTTGTATTGACTCGAGGTTCGAACAGAATGAGAGCAAGGCAATATGAATGTTAGTAAAAAGCATAGACTGAAAAACTACTTCAGTACATATTCCTCTTATTTACTCTAACTCACGATAGTTTCGAGTGTTCTCTCGTCTTCCTTACCTGTGTGCGAGGGCCGTTCCGCAGACACCGTCTCCGTCCCTTCAGATAAGCGTCAAGTGGTGCTCGAAGTCCGGTGCCGCCGACAGCCGCACGGGCAGAGGTGCTCGCAGGTCACCAGTCCGCATTGAGTGTGATCAGCGACGAGTCACCGTGAATGACGAAACCAGTGAGCGACGACAGACCGCATGAGCTCGTAACAATTTAATCTAGTGTGTGGTGTGGCTGATTATGGAAGTGTGGGTGTTGGAAAATGAAGAGGGCTCCCCTCAATCCCTCAACGGTTGCAGAGCCCCAACTTCGATTGAACAATAAATACGAACAAAACAACGACTGAATCGCGTCAAGAACTTAGTGGACGGGGTCTGGGTGTGATAGATAGGGACCTACGGCATGAAATTCCCATAAATTGCACGAGACACGCAGTGCTACTGAAAACTAAACGCACTGGCTTCGGTTTTGATCAAATTAATGGCTCAAATTGATGCCTACCTACCACCTGCAATAACCATCGAACCATTGGTCTTTGAGTTAGTTACCAACCCCTGAAAGATGCATAAATTCATTAAATTGCTTATCGGTAGTTTTAGTCGGGAATGGTGTTCCCACCTATCCAGATCCTTTGCGCCTGATTTGGTTCGTTCGTTCATTAGGGTTTACGGGCGCGTCGAACGCCTGATTTGGTCTCGCTTGCACCACTCGGCACTCACCAGTGCGGGCAAAATCTGAACGATCCCTTCTCCAAATAGATAACGCATCACCAGCGGCCCCTAAGTTTCCCAGAAGTCTTACTGTCTTGCCTGGAAACGTGTGCGTGTGATCGCGAGATTTCATCATACGGAGCAACGGAGTAGAATATATCCGGAACCGGTCGCCAGTGGTGCCACCTGCCTACGAGAAGTGCGCTCGGGGCGCCACCTACAACCATCCGCCCTCGGCATCCGGCTGCCACATCTCCAGTTTCAACAGTGACACACCGCGGCATCCTCCCCCACCCGCCTCTGAAGGCGGAGAGGAGGGACACCGCGGCTGTCCGGCCGCGCTCAGCACCGCAGCCCCCGCATCGGCCGACAGCCGCGACCAGCAGGACACGAGGCCAGCCGCTGCTCAGCAAGGAAATGACGGTAGTTGCCGCTACCCCACAGCGAACAGACTGAACGTTTTGGTAGATTCCTCTGAATATTAAAAAAGTAGATTTTGGAATAACAAGCATTTTAGGAAGGCGTAGTTAACAATTACTTCACACAAATTTAGAAGTGAGCATCAAGCACATCCGTAAACGATAAAATAATAGACGTTCTATAGAAAGTTACGTCAGCCACTGTTTGTGGTTGCTGGCGCCCTGCTGAGTGGCGGCGGTGACCCCTGGTCATGCCCTGCGGCCGCGGCCAACGGTGACCGATCCGGGGCCGGCGGGCCGTCAGCGCGCGGCCGGACAGTGCTCGGGAACATGGCGTCTGCGACTTCCGTTCCGTCCTCACACTGACACACGCCGGCGCTCGCCTCAGATCGTGTATTGTACGTCACGCATTACTTGTCCTCGGGCTGCTTGTAGACGAGCGTGGTGTAGCACTTGCCGCAGTACTGGCGGTCGTGCATGGAGGCCATGAAGACGCCGGCGCCGCACGTCTCGGACGGACACTCACGGCGCAGGCGGGCGATCTTGCCGTTCTCGTCCACCTGGAGCGAGAAAAAGGTAAACGTCAGCCGGGTCACCGGAGACAATCTAATTTTCCTATCCGAACTCCCACTGGATGTTCCCGTATCTTTTTGCCGAAAAAATAATCCGCTAGTGTAAAGAATGTCCTTATCGGTGTTTTATAACATAGCTTTACCAGCAAGAAACGAAGCTTGGTACCCATTCATAAAATTTCTGAGGCAGAAAACGACTAGAGTAAACATTAAGCTACGATAAAAATGCAACCCTGGAAATTGAAACAGCGCTTCCTATACGAACCTTGTAGTACTTCAGCACGGCCAGCTTGACCTTCTTATGCTTGTGCTTGATCTTCTTGGGGGTGGTGTAGTTCTTCTTCTTGCGCTTCTTGCCACCACCGAGCAGCCTCAGCGAGAGGTAGAGGGTCGACTCCTTCTGGACGTCGTAGTCGGCCAGGGTGCAGTCATCCTCCAGCTGGTGGCCTGGGCGGGCGCAGCGAGACGGGGTCAGATGGCAGACCGGGGTGCGGAGGCGACAGGGCGGGCAGGTGTGCAGTGTGCACTGTGTGAGTAAATACAAAAACAAAACGTTTTCTAACTCACACAAAAAGCAAACAATGCATTTTCTAACACACTTAGTTTTTGCCACGACGGTAATCGCAGCACCGATCAAAGATTCGGGGTCTCTCATTTACAAACGCACAGCGTCCGGCGGCGCACTTGGACGAACTAGGACGTTCGGCTCTAGCTAGCGAGCTCCAGCGCTCGGCGCCGGCTGTCGGACTCACCGGCGTAGGAGAGCAGCTGGTCCTCGGCGGGGATGTTCTCCCTCGCCTCCAGCAGCTGCTTCACCGACAGCACCGACGCCGACGCGTCGAGCTCGAGCGTCGACGTCGCATTGTCTAGGTTCTGCACGAATATCTGCATCTTCGGTCTGAAACGGGACGACGAACACCAGTGAGCCCTGGAATCACAGCTGAATGCGACGTTTTACGAAGATACTAGCGAACACCAGTAGGTACCGTAAACCGGGGTGAGTTGATATGGATTTTGAGGTTTTTCTAGATTTCTTTAAAAGTCACATTCATTTACGGAATTCTTTTTGTGCCGGTTTCATGGCACATGCCTTGGGGAGGCAATCAGCAAAAATGAATAAAAAATGTATATATTAAGCCCCTTTTTTAAAACGCCAAAGTTCATATCAACTCACCCCCTGGGGGGTGGTGAGTTGATATGGTTTTGGATTTTTCAAAATTTCTCGGCTAAAGAAGCTCAGAGGTGAGTTGATAAAATGCCAGTGTTTAAAAAAAGGATGTGAGAACACATCCTAAAAGAAACCATCAGAAAAATGGTAGTGGTTTGGCAGCAGACCTCACATTCATGAAAACGCAATCATGTCCAACACAGCGCTATCAAAATGGCTGATTTTAGCAGCATCATTTTTTCGCTTTATGATACTTAGTTTTACTTAGAACATTCTGAACTTGGCTAGTCACGTGTCCTCAAGCCAACGGTATCAAAACTGGCAATATATTTTGGAATTACAAGTGTATTTTCTTGTAATTAAAACACATTGTCAGTTGCGGGTCAAGGTTGATATGCCGCTGACAGAGATAATGGATTGAAATGAAAGAATACATATACTTCTGAGCTTTTGTTGACTGCTAGTCAACAAAATATTAATGAAGTGAAGTGAAGCGAATCTAATTCGGACTGTATTCTATAAGGTGAAATAAGCCACATAAAACAGAATTCGGCATCAAAAGCCAAAATTAACCCTCGCACTTATAGGCGGGCGAACGGACCACCTCGTCTTTTCGCACATAACTCGCGCAAAAAGCGGCCGATCACGACGAAACTTTCAGTACCTCTCGAGTTTATCAATTTTACACATGTTCTAAAGATTTCATGACCCTGACTCAAATGGTTTTTGACTTGTGACCTGATTCTCGAGACCATGCTTGGCCGGAATCGCGATTTGGCGTAGTCGGCTCACATCCGCGCATTTCCAGTCTTTTTGTGATTGTAACGTCCAAACATGTAAATTATGTTGGTCCCACGCAGTATTGTGGGTGTCAGCTGTCAAGGTCACCTGAAGGTCAGGTCAGGTCATTGATCTTTGGTGACCTCGGTTCACTTTTTGGAGTTTTACATGTTTCTAGGGTAGTTTTTTCGGGCCGATTTCGAATTTAACATGCATTTGATCATTTATGAAGTAGTTTTAGTGCCTTCGTAACATGTTACGACACCGTCAGTGGTAGCTGACACTTGACACTCCCTATGGATAGCCGGCAGGACACCTACTGGTTGACCTGACCTGACCTGGCCTAAATGTACGAAGACATCTGTGATCAAAACTAACATGACATTCGCGATCAGCAACAGCCAAAAATAATAACCTCGCTTTACGAACTTCAAATAACCCCTTATTTTCCCGACTTCTGGGTAATTGACCTGGCCTGGAAGGTTAACCAATGACCTAAGACCTTAAAGTTGGTTATCATCGGCTTCCTCGTGTCTCGGGCAACACGCTCATTTTTTTCCGCGAAGCTCTAGCTCCACCAGGGGCCAAACGACGATGGGATTCCAACGGACCCCCCCCCCCCCCCCATACGTTAAACGCTGGCAAAACACGAATACGGGCAAGGCTAAACACCAGTCAATTTCTTTATATTGTTTGTTCCATTTCATTTTGTCACTCATTCTCGGTTGGCAACTGCCAAGCAGGAAAACTAATCAGTTTCACGAGATCAGAATTCCCGCGCTGTTAGCCATACAGAAATGACAGTTCTGTCATTTTCGAAACTACGAATAATTATAACAGTTTTTTAATCTGTATGTAATATAGGTGTTCTATAGTGTTCCTTTGTAGCTTGTAGGGAGCCATCTTGAGACTTGACAGGGAGTTGTGCTGTGCCTTTTGCACGTTAGGTATGTCCACAGAAAAAAAAAAAAACTTTGGGGTTACTGATGTTAGTTGTCGGACCTTCGTCCCCGTCTTGAGTTGAGATGTTAGTTTCACAACGTTTCGGCCAGTTACTCTCCGGCCGTCGTCACTCGTCAGGTGTTCTTTGACCCTCAAGGACTTGGATGTTGGTGGCGTTGCGCCGTACGCGTCAAACAGTTCGAAAGCTCCTGTAGTCAGCGGGAATCGAACTCGGGTTTCCCCGGTGATGGTCCACGGTTGTAACCACTCCACTATCGAGGCAGGTTTGACTACGGCCGGAGAAGCTACTGGCTGAAACGTTGTGAAATTAACATCTCAACTCAAGACGGGGACGAAAGTCCGACAACTAACATCAGTGATACTTTACAGGCCTCGTCTCAAGCATTCAGAAAAAAAACTAAAGCTTTTGGGGGTTGATGCAATGATATGGGGAAAGAAAAGGAGAAGAGTTGGTCTAATTGACTTTGTCTTACCTGCAGACCCATATTTCATGCTAATTTGCATGCCTACCAGCCTGGTATCAGCTTTTATCATGCATATCAACTCACCACCTGATGGCATATCAACTCACCACCTGTCACTTTTCTTAAAATTATAAAAAAGCGTTGTTATAGGTGAAACCCAAAACTACCTGGGATCAACAGTAAATTGATGGTAGTTTCTTTCCCAGTGCATGTTGTTTCATGAATATCCACCGTCTTTGCTGTAGGGTGGGGACTTTTCCTTAGTTTCAAAAGCAGAAGAAAAAAAGGA